CAGTCTCTCTTTTATACATCCATTTTTGTAAGAGGCAGTATAGAATTAAAGTTGATCTGTTTCTCACTTACTGCAAAAAGGGTTGAATGCTGTCGGGTCTGATTTTAGAAACAAAAATGACAATCATAAGGAAGAGAACTTACTTTTTGACCCAACGGATTTGGTGGAGGAAAATTACAATTTTTCAAGGTACTATGCAAAATTTGAGGTTAAATGAGACCAAAATCTTAACACTCCAGTGACTGAGGGGGCTGGGGATGCATAAATAGGAATTAGTAATTTCCATATTGGGCAAAAAAAATATTTTAAATTATTGTATCTCTTTTTATGGCTTCTATAGGTCTTGAAGTAAATTTTCATCATGAGGTTGTTCAGTTGCAGATTTACTCATCCAAGAATTTATGTCTAAGATTAACTGTAGTCTTTAGTCATTCTCATTTTTGCTTGGATCCATTAATAAAAAATTTTGTGCTTATAGATTAAATTCTAAATACTGAATTTGGGATATTCCTTACCTATATTCACCAGGCTGACTGGCAGTAGACGATATATATCAGCACACTGGTAGTGGTAGAACTTTTAATGCTATTCCATGCCATTTACAACATGCAGATGGAACAACATGTTTGTGGGCTAATTAGTTTTAACAATAATTTCAACTTGGAGGGCTGCATCCCTGTAGCACGTGACATCAGAAACGTTGCTCATTATAGCTATGGTCCAGACAGACTACATTCATGCAGCAAATTCTATTAAAATAAGCATCCAAGGCTTGCTTTGTAGATTCAATGTGGGTAGGTAGTCATCTTTTTGGTCTGATTCGAAGCATAATACTTAAAATGGATCCATAGCTCTTAATGTAATGGTAAAACAATTGCTCCACTGTGTACTGTCAGCTACAAAAAAAAAAGGGGGGGCTATGTCACATTCTGGGCTCGATTATGCAGCCACTGAATAGGAGTAATTCCCAGTGAAGTCAACAGTAGTTGCACAATCCAGCCCTCCATTTGTAATGGTCTTCTTTAATATGTACAGAAGGGCTTTGAAAATGTAGGCGACTACTAGCTAGAGAACTTTAAACCTGCTAGCCAGAAGCTAATATAGAAAACATCAGGAGGAGGTGCGTCACAATGACTGCTCCTCCACCTGGGTGTTAGCATCCCTACCAGATTCATCGTGTCCCGTGAACCTACTGGGGGCTCATATCAGCCTCTGACTAGTAGGTATGTGATTAAACTGATAAACCCACATGCCACCCATTTTTTCACCTTAACTTGCATCACATTTAAAATCTGATTGAAATCAAACCAGAAGAAAGATACTTAAAATATCCTGTTATTATAGAAATTGATGCTATTCCCTCATTTTAAATATTGTGTTCTGTTTTGGTCACTCCATCTCAAAAAGGATATCTGAGAGAGGATCCAGCAAAGGGTGGTGAAAAATATTAGAGGCTTGGGAAAACTTTTGTATGAGGATAGATTAAAAATATTAATCCTGGTTTAGTGAGGAGACCTGTAAGAGGTGGCATGCAGAGATATATCACATACCCTCTCTGTACAAGTACAAGAGGACAAAAAATGGGGAAAATCAAAGACCACTCATTTAAAACTGATAATTTTTTAGCACAGCTTTGTGTTACACTGAGCAGTGAGTTCAACAGGTTACTACTGAAAAAAAGATCTTAGGAGGATTCAGAGAAGATATCTTCTGCAATTAGACTAGCTAGGATAACATTTATGAGGGGATATCAGTTCTTATACTTGAGGACATAAGACAACTGTTAACTAGAGTTAGGAAGGATTTTTCCTAGTAGACATGTTATTAGTATGGCCACCGTAAGATGAACTACTGCACTAGATGGACCATTGGTCTGGTCTGAAATTGCCACTCTTTCCTATGCTACTTTACCTTTCCCCCAACTTTTCGACTGTTTTAAGATAGGAATGGTCTCTGCTATTTTACTCCAAATTCCTGGCTGGTGTCAGAGGTCTTGACTACTGTTCCTGTAGCCTCTCTTTCTGGAGGGTCCTTTGTGAATACAACTTCAGAGTCAATTCTCCAGTGCAACACCAGATTGAAATTGTGTGATTCTGGTCAGTGTCCATGCTGCCATTCAGAACTGTGGAATTGGAAGGTTTTTGACAATTTCAGTGGGTTGCTTCTTGGGGGAAATCAAGCATCTCTCTCTTCAGATTCAGAAAGATGACACTGCAGAAGGTATCTTCAAATGTGATCTTCACAATAAAAAGGGTGGGAAAGGTAATTGGGTACATGATTCAGGAGCCTATAGTCTGGTCTACACTTAAAAATGAGGTCAACCTAGGTACATCATTCAGGACTGTGAAAAATGTGGTGCCCTGAGCACCATAGTTAGGTCAACATAAATATGCAGCTAGGTGGATAGAAGAGTTCTTCTGTTGACCTAACTACCGCCTCTGGGAGAGGTGAGTTAACTGCATCCATGGAAAAACCCTTCCGTCAATGTAAGAAGTGTCTTCACTACAGTGACACAGTTGCAGCACCATAACTGTGCTGCTGTAGAGGCTGTAGTACAGACAAAATCAATGGATTCTAGGATCCTACACCACTTACGTACTTTGGCAAACTTTACACATTGTTTTAAAATCAAAGCTTAAATTCAGCAGATATTCGTATGAAAAGTAGCAGTGGACAGATTTTGTTAAGCATTGATGTTGAGTAGTCATTCATGGTGTATATCGAGACTTACCTTTTAATGTGGGTATGCTCTCTTTGAAGGGAAATGTAGAATTTGAACAAATAATTTTAATAATGCATAGCAATAATTACTTCACCAAATGAGGCGATACTTTACAAAAGAGAAGTATGAATTTTCTCACTACTCACTTAGAATTATCTTCCCGTGAACAAGATCTTGTGGTGATAGAGAACTGAGAAATCTGATGAAATATTGTTTTTATTTCTGATTCAGGGTCTTGCTCATTAAAACAGAGATAAAACTACAGCCTAATAAGAGAGGGTGATTTAGAAATCTTAGTTATCTCTGCTACCATGGCATGACAGATTTTTGGGAAAAATGCCATCAGTCCCTGAAAATAATTTTTCAATAGCATGTATAGACTTTTGAATGATGTAATTATAATGGCACCAACATAGTTAAAGTTGTATTAACATTTGTAGTGTAGTATGCCCCTCTGGCATCCTTCATAATAATCACCAGGCACTTTATAATCTTAAAAAGCTAATGAAAAAAAGCATTGCACATATATTACTTAAATTTGAATTTAAAATAGACTTTAGTTTTTTGACTTGTGACCAGAAGCTGATTTCCGTAGGCTTATAACTCTCCTTTAACAGTTTGTAAGGCAATTGTGTAATGCACAATATCTCCGTCTTGAAACATTTTCTTCCTTATTTCTAACATCTGATGTTTTGGACTTTGCCTACCTGTGCTTGAAGAATTAAGTGTGAATTTCCTACATATTTTAACTTTAAATTTTTTTCTGGTTATAATACTTTGCTCTCGAAACAAAGATAAATCTGTTTTTAGAACAAATGGTTTCTTTTTTTATTGTATTTGTATAATACAGAAATGTTCCGCCCTGGTAATATAAAATAGGGAATTAATGAAGAAAGAAAAGCTATAGAACATTAGAAAACCATCTTTGATGCCGCAGAGAAGAGTGTGGAAGATAATCAGTTTGTTTGCTTGATGTTGTCACCAGAGGCAGACTTCTTGATTTGTTGTGATGATTTCGACTAGTCTTTCAATAGTGAGCAGTTCAGGGATAACTTGTATTTTTAATTACGGTAAAATACCAAATTGTGAGTTTACTAACATGTATGTGGACTAGAAAAGTACATATTTGCAGAAGGACATGGATTAAAACAGCCCCAGAAGCAGGAAAGAACAGTCAGTGTTATACAGAATGCTAATGATGTTTACCTTAGTAATTTGTGCACAGATTGTATTTCTGTACTTGGACAGACTGGAATTGTTCTGTTCCACTGGCATTGGAAGCCAATGTTTGCAAATCCCAAAATGAAATCTTTTAGTTTTTCCTGTTCCTAGATCACGTACTCTCATTCATAACTTTGCTCTAGTTTCCTATCTCACACAGGAGAGACCATCATGTGACTTTTATATACTTAAGGAAAATAAGATCGGTTTTATGGCAGCTGGAAAAACAAAGAAATGTCATAGGTCCATAATCTATCATAGTTCTTGGTCTCTATTGTACCATCAGTTCTTCTAGCCACCGCGTGACGGATTTTGCTGCACAGCAGGAAAGTAGTCAAAGTAGTTTTATTTAGGCATATTTTCTATATATTGTGATAAGGCTTTCTACTACTTATCCAGATATTATCTTCTTGTTAAATAGGATTTTGCCTGATTTTTTTTTTAATTTATTTAGACTGAATATACATCAGCTCTTTCTTCTTCCTCTTTTCCCAAGAAAGTGTGGCGGAGGACTGTATCTAGACTTACTATACATGCATTATATTTTCCAGAAGTTTGAAGTATGGTTGACTCCAGCCAGTTTGCGTTTAATGTTTCTTTTTCCAGGACTGAGTTAATCAGATCTGCCTGTTCTATTCTTCTTAAGAAATGCATGAACAGTTACAAGAGAGGGCCACTCGAAATCTACTGGAAATAATTCTGGGCATAACTTCTGGAGTACTTTTGGCAAATTAATTGGGGAAAAACACACATGAAAATCCTAATTTTAGTTTATTTGAATAGTGTTTTATAAAATGGACTTTTTCACACCTAATCTCCTCTGTAGATCTTCTGACTCCCCATTCTCTTCCCCTTTCTGCCAGACTGGTACATTGAAGATCAGATCATTGTAATATTTGCTAGAACATTCATTTAGTTGTATCTGTAAAAGCTTGAAACCTTATTCCTGTGAAATGTCTTTCCCACGGAGACTTAGGAAGAAAACGTTGCACATCCAGAAGGTTATCTTCATAACCATTTCTTAAAAAAAACCTCAAATTTTGCAAAAAAGTGACTACCCCTTATCCTATGTTATAAATTTCCTAAATCTGGTTTATAGTGAGAAATTTCTGCAGAGTGTATTTTTTTCCATTGACGACGAACATGACCTAGACTATCAACTTCCCCCCACAAATATTTCTATTGACAATCTTCCATCTGTGACAGACTATAACCATATTGCTAGGCTATAGCTGTCATTTGAGGTTGCGTAACCTGTTTCTCAATGTTTGTACAGTGCTTTTAAGATGCAAGACACTATGTAAGTGTGAAGTAGTAGTGTTATCCTACTGAAGAGAGCAAAGGCTTAGCATCTGTGATGTCTTCCATGAGTTTGCTACATATCTGTCCATTTTGCTAGGATGCAGTGCTGTTGTTGGATTATGGCAAACACCGAGCCAGTCTATTAATGCAGCCTATACTCTTTTGGAGAAGAGAGTGGGACAAGGAGAACGTGCAGTCTATGAACAACCTGTAGCTAGTTCTTTTAATTAATGGGAATTAAAGACATCTTGAACATGTTTGTTATAGAGCCGTGGTGATGACTCCAAGAAGTGGGGTTGTAACCAGGTTTCATTAAATACCTGGAGTGAAAATCTGGGCCCCATTGAAACCTAATGGCAAAACTTCCATTGACTACAATGGGGCCAAGATCTCCCTTCCTATTTTTTGGCTCCCTCTTCCACAGCTGTCTTGGGAAACTGGTTTGGTTTGGCCTAAAATTCACTAGATTTAATGTTCTAAAAATCTTGAAGAAAATTGTGAAATTGTCTGAGTAGTGGATCATTTACAAGATAAATAGCTTAATGTGATATTTTGGGGTTCTTCTGTTGGGGGGGAGGGGGAACAATTTAGGCATGTCTGTTAACTTTTATTACGCTCAGCTCAACACTAACGCCGCCCAACTCCACATTTAAATTGTTGAGCAAGTCAGTGGCTGAAAAGTACAATTCTTTCATAATAAAACTGGTTGGCTTAGTTATCTAATTCTCCTGTTATTTCAGAATGTGTTTATTAATGAAATCTGCATTTATTCATATCTAAAACTATGATTTTGACGGATTCCTTAGATAAGACAAAGTTTTTTCATCTAAAGCTTTGAAACATTGATTAAATGTATGGACACTGTTTGAATCTGATTTGCACATCTAGAAGTTTTCTTCTGATGCAGTGCAACTGTGTCTGGTGTAACTTGGCTTAATTAGTACTGCTCAGTGATTTGGGACTGGTATCAAAGACTCTTATTTTAGCAAAAACATAGTTAGTTAAAGCTAAAGCTGTGACCTCCTCTCTGTTCATGTTGGACCAAAGTATACGCTGCACCAAAAGGCATTGTTTAACTTCATCTTTCTCTTTTATGCTGCAAATCAATTTGCTTGTAATTTAGTTCTGATATTAATATCCTTCTCTGATTAACCATTATATTTTTATAATAATGGGTTGGGAGAATTCAACAGAAATACATAGTAGAGCTACATGGAATATTCACTACTTCAGAAAGTGTGTCTCTAATAGAAATATTTAAATACAAAGCTATTAATCTTTTTACTTAATGTGGGGCTCTTCTTATAATTGTGAAAATCTGAGTACCATCAAGGACTACTAAAATATAAAAGATACATAGAATTTATACATTCCTGTCTAGTCCTGCCCTGATGTAACTCTGCAATTTCCTTTATTACATAGACTACACATTAAATGCTTTCCCTTTAATATTAGAGCTATGCACATTACAATAGGTGTCACTGTGCTGCTGGGTCCAATCGTTATCAGTGACTTCAGCTATTGGCTCAGAACACTGGCTGTCTGACTCCATCTGCAGGGCTGTAATACCTACTCTGTTCAGATCCATTCAACACACAAGTTCAGCCAGCTGAACAGCCTAGCAGTGCTACGGCACATCTTGCTAGCCTAATTCAACAAGCCAGTGCGATAGTTAGATGCATACTCTCTTTGCACAGCGTAGCACTTTGAGGTGATTCAGTTTCAGGAAATCTGGAAAAGAGCTTGCAAGTAAATAAAACTGGGAGTCATGATGGAGATGTATTTAACAAGTCAAATACTGGATCAAACTTAAAGCCAGTTTCTTATTCAGTACCCTGAAAAGGTCACCTTGTCTTGCTGGAAAAGAAGCAAAATCTCAGCTTTGCTGCTTTTTATTTAACAGCTTGGCTCCCACTTAAATTTTCTTCATGTTCTTACCTAGTTAGGCTATCTAGCTATACAAACAAGGATACTCATGGTAGATGACAAGGGAAAGAACATGAAATGTCTCACCTTCTTCTTGATGCTTCCAGAGACAGTCAAGAACAGGTCCAAGAAAAGCTCTAAGAAAGGAAACAGTAGCAGCAGCAGCAGCAGCAAGTTGCCTCCAGTTTGCTATGAAATCATTACCTTGAAGACCAAAAAGAAGAAGAAGATGGCTGCTGATATTTTTCCCAGAAAGAAACCAGCCAACACTAATACAACTGCTGTCCAGCAATACCACCAACAAAACCTCAACAACAACAACACTATCCCTGCCCCCAATTGGCAAGGGCTTTATCCCACCATCCGAGAGAGGTAAGTTCAAGAGAATTTATTTTTGATGTTTACATGAAGGGTTGAATTGTAGCAAAACAGGTTTGCTATGTTAAATTTAGTTTCTCGTTTATACACATTGAATAAAACATGCTACTCCTTTTCCCCAAGCAAGTATTTGGTAATGGAAAATTTTTAGTATCTCTTTCCGGACAGTGCAGCTGTTTTCCTGAAGTAGTACAAATGTTGTTGTAAGCTGCAGTACTTTAAACTGATAGGTATTTGCATGCAGACTTACGTGTTTGTTGTTTTAGTAATACATGTTCTTGATCTTCATTTTCACTTTTTGAAAAGTTTTCACAAAGTTTTTCTTGGATCTGTTTTCCTTAGTATATTTGTGTGTGATCATGTGCAAAGTGGTCAGAAATTGTGTGACCTGTTTTTTTGTTTGTTCTTTTGTTCTTTAGCTGGTTTGTTACTGAAATGCTACTTTAAGTTGTTAAAAAGTTTAATCTCATGGGTCTGGGGTGAGAATCGGATGCCAGATTACATAAATTAACACATTGCCTCTGTCTGTAGAAATGCAGTGATGTTCAACAATGACTTGATGGCAGATGTTCATTTTGTGGTTGGGCCACCAGGTGGGACCCAGCGGTTGCCAGGACACAAAGTAAGCAACAGCTGCATTATCAGTTCAGATGTGGGAATAGCAACAGTAACTTCAACTGTAACATCGTGACTTACTGTGGGAGACTCCAATTCTTTGTGACAGACATAAATTTTGAAATGGCTTTGTCCAGTGAAATACTTTACTTTTCTTTGTATTTCCCATTAAACATTGTGTTGTGATAAAAGAGGCTTTATGTAAAATTGGGAAGACTGTTTTTTGTCCCTTTTTATGGTTGGTGGTATGAAGATTTTCTAGAAATTCACTTGTTTCTTTGAAGATAAAACATATAACTGTACGAGGTAAATGGTAGGAAAACGTGTAATTTTGTTAGTAAGTTTGCCTTCGTTCTCACATAATAGTATCTAATTTCTATGCCCATGAAGCTAGTATACTCATAGTGGTAGTGGCTGTACCTCATTGTTTTTATTGGCAGTGCCTTCAGTTTATAGCATGAAATAAGATTTCCCTTTCTCAACAGTACGTCTTAGCTGTCGGGAGCTCTGTATTCCATGCAATGTTTTACGGAGAGCTTGCTGAGGACAAAGATGAAATTCGTATACCAGATGTTGAGCCTGCCGCTTTTCTCGCTATGCTGAAGTAAGCATCATTCTTCTGGAAATGTATTTGTTTATGCCGTATATGCACAGCAATACTGTCACAGTTCAAATATTGGATATCCGTCTAAACAGAGGCATAAAACTAGAAATGAAGTAATTGTTCAAAAATAGGCCTTCCGCTATATATTCATTGTTTAAAACTTATTTTCACTGAACTTCTCTCTCACCCTCTATTTCTAGACGCGGAAACGTTAGGCTAATGTAGGCAGTTGTTATAAATAATGACTGACAGGAGGTCTTTGAGCACATTGTAATGCCTATTGATTTGATTTGTCACTACACTTGCTACACAAAAGAAGGGAGTTACTAAAAAGAATTGTCAGCTCTAACAAAAAAACCTATTTTACTTTGAAAGTATAGTGAAAAGTAAAAAAATTGGAATTTCTGGGTTCATACACTGACATTGTGCTCTAGCTCTTTTGTATGCTTACTGTACAGAGTTCTGTCTGTTCAAAACACCCCCGAGTTACTGAATGCAGCCACTGAAAAGTAAAACCTTTCTTTATTTTATTTAGTATTGGGCATTTGGAAAGTATTAAAAATAAAAGGGCTGTTTAAATGAACTTATTCCCCTCCCTGTATATCTGGTTTCTTTCTGCCAACCTGATTCAGAACTAGGTTGCTTTTTCGCTGGATGAAGAGGATGTAATGAAATACTAATTGTTCCCCTGCTGAATTATCCTTGGACTGTGATTATAAACTTTGATTTTCAAATGGAAATTATATCATGCAACCTCTATAATTTGGAGTTTTTTCCTCTGGTATTTAACACTGTCATTGGTTACTTCTGGACCCGGTTGTTTCTCATTTTAATTGAGATCAATATCCAGACCCTTTTAATATGCTACTGGTTTTGTTGCATGCAATAGTGAAATTGCTAGTTAACAACCTTATAAATATATTTCATGGGTTGCCTTGATTAGCTTGTGATTGCAAACAATTACTTTGTTACATTTCAATGGCATGGTAGATCTAGTGTTCAAAGTTGCATGCAGCTGCAGAGTTTTCAGTTTGTCAGCAGGAACCTCAGAAATATTTGGGATGCATGTTGACAGATGCCTTTCCATGAAAATCAAAGGTCACTCAACAATATTAATATGGAATTGAGACAAAGTTATGATATGCCACCACATGTGAATAGATACATTACAGATCTTCATTTTGCACATTGCTATTTAAAACATGTTTTTCATACAGCAAATACTTTGACTTTACAGAGTGAGATGTAGTTAGACTTTCTCTCTGCAAGGGGCGAATATAAGGTACTTTAATTTTTCTTTTCTATTGGGAACAACAACTCTTTCTGACATAATTTTATTACTGCTACATTAAACTTGCCATTTAAAGAACAAATGGATTTTGAAATCTGCTTGAAGACATTTGTACAGTGGGGCAAACCTGAAAAACGAGAACTTTAATACCAAAATCCAGTGCCTGACGAATTCTCTTGACAATAGTAAATTAGGAAACTATCTGAAAAGTGGGGGGACTCAGCCACAAACTTCTTCAGAATCCAAGCTTTCATTTAAAAAAAAAATCTAGTTATTTTGGTTGTGCAGATTCCCTTCCAAATGAGAACTTGATGCAGTGCTATTTCCCTGAATCTGCAGTGCTCTAGTATCTCTACTGATGTTCAAAACATTCCCAAGAAGCAGCATGAGACTGAAGGCCCAAAACACTCAGGCTACAAGAAGAAGAGAGTAGAAGAGAACTTGCACCCATCCCTGCAAACAGGAATGAGAGGAGCATTTAGTTGAACCCCCTTTTCGCCAGGTCCCCTTTTCAACAATCAAGAGGAATACAGTGTAATCTTTTGTAAGAAAAGAAAGAGTTGGAAATGCTCATTTTCTTCTAAGCCATGAACTCTTATAATGTGATATACACTAATCTGTATTTGGGTATTAGTTGTTAATAGTGTTTAGTTGGTTAATTTTGTAGTGGACACATGGAAGACAAACACCAGTAAACCTATTATTAGATGCAGAAGCTTCAGTAGTATCTGTTATTGGCATGTAGTAATTATGCCCCCAGCAAAATTGATTAGCTGTTCACTATAGCTTTACAAATACAAAACAGTTACATGTTGCTAAATGCATATCCTAGTTGGCACACTCAGTTAGTGTCTTTAACCCTGAAGACCAGGATTCAAATAATAAATTAAAATTAGACTCATGGTCTCATTCTAATCCCAGCCTGTGCGCATCACACATGTACAGCTGTAACATACTTTGCTAAGGAATAGACCAGGACTGAAATATCAGCAGTTGCAGATCAGGATAGAGATGCATTGACAGAATGAGAAATGTGGAATGCTACAGACAGCCTATCTGTGCTATGGCTGCTTTAAACCAGTGATATTACTTCTCCACTTCCATGAATATTAAACTCGCAGTTTTTGTACTGTTTAAATTTAAAACAGATGCCGCCCTACTTTTTTGTATTAACAAGCAGAGAGGGAGAAGAAGTTGGAGGTTGAGGAGGAGAATTATAAAATGGAACAAATTTGGAGAGATGATGGTAGAAAAAACAAGAAAATATGTAGACCCTTAGGGACCAAACCTGCAATTTATGCTTGCATGAGTAATTCTTACTCCTGCAAGTAGTCTTTAGTTTTTTACTTCAAGAACTAAAGATTCAGTTCTATATTGATATTCATTACTTGCTACGTTTCATTGCATCAGAGTTTATCTACTCTAAACAGAATTTTTCAAGCGTTACTTAGCGTAGCATTTTTAGAGGCACATGACTGTGAAAAATATATCTCATTTTATTTGACCCCAATTTCTCTAGAACTCATAATTGGTGTTATTCTCTGCCCCATTACATGTGGTACATTACTAGTTTTCCATCATTAACTGGAAATCTGCCCAAGCAGGTTGGAGTCTGCCATATCCTAATTCATGAAAACCAAACAACGAAACAAGACTTATACATCTTTACAGTAAAAACAAAAACAGCCATAATGAGATATGGGTTGATACTAATCCAGTAAATTTCATTTTATCATTTATTCTCCTAGGCCTTGTATATCCTGTGAAAATGCATCTTTTTAGAAAACCAGTTAACTTAACACATTTTCATTAGCATGAAATGCAATTTTGCCTTTAGTGGCTCAGCCGCAACCAACAAGCATATTTTTAAACATAACTCCCTTGTTCACTCTAAAGGCAAATTTATGTTTAACATTGTTTCTAACAGAATGCATTTACCCAGAATAGATTTGACCTAATGTGTGAGATATTAAAAACAAGGTGCCAAATTCATTATTTCCCCAACAGTAGTGGACCTCAGGAATTTAATCACGTAATGAGAATTTAGCTGAATCTCTTCTGTTTTGACATGGCAGTGGGTCTTAACAAGTTTTCTTCCCTAGGAAAGTGAGAGAATACATTTTTTCTGGGGAAGCTAGCATGTTGTAGCATCAATAAACATATGAAATCCTTCCCTTTACAATCTGAGGTTAGTTAGTCTAAGAGGTTTCATCAATTGATTGCAAATCTTAGAGCCTATGGCATGATGATGCATGGTATTGGATGTATTTTGACAGTGTTACACTTCTGAGAGCCTAGATTTTAAACCAGTTTGTCTTGGCACCCATGTCTGATGTGAAGTGTTTGTTATTGCTGAAAAACTCACTTTTCTTTGCACATGTGTCTGAATAAAGGTCACCATATAGTTCACCAGAAAAGGAAGTTCAATGTATGTCCACTTGAAATTCATGCCCTAGACAGTATTAACTGTTGTTTTAGCCATATAAACCAACCCTTCTTCAAGAACCTTGATTGACACAAACCCTTTTTGGGGGTGAAAAATATCTCATTCATCAAGTCATTTATTTGGAATTTTTTCACCCAAGTTTGCTAGGATATGGATACATTAGAGTCACTACCATATTGCAATTGTTGATTGACTGTTTAGAGTGCGTTCTCTATCTCATTATTGAAAGCAACTGTTGTTGAACTTGGAAGAAAATGGGAATGAAGTGGTAGCACTTCATAGTTGTATCAGTTTCTTTGTGTAGCATGTGACCCAAATGAAAGGCCCAATTCATTGTTGGTGTAATCCCATTGACTTCGATGAGCTTAACCCATGGATGAATTTGGCCTGTAGTTTCTTTATCGTGTAATTTGAAGCAGGATTTGATTTTTCCAGAAAGTATTTCTTAGTTTTAATACTGCATTGCACCATTCGAGTGCTCTGTGCTTCGAGTTTTCAGGTGTTATTGACAGTCAATGTCTTTTTGCTAAAGAGCAGTGTCACATGTGCGTATTTTATTTCAGATACATCTATTGTGATGAAATTGACTTAGCTGCTGATAACGTGCTGGCCACTCTTTATGCTGCCAAGAAGTACATCGTTCCTCATCTTGCCCGAGCATGTGTCAACTTCCTAGAGACGAGCCTAAGTGCAAAGAATGCCTGTGTGCTGCTCTCCCAGAGTTGCTTATTTGAAGAACCTGACCTGACCCAGCGCTGCTGGGAAGTGATTGATGCCCAAGCAGAGCTGGCTTTGAAATCTGAGGGGTTCTGTGATATTGATTTTCAGACGCTTGAAAGCATCCTCCGAAGGGAGACGCTGAATGCCAAAGAAATTGTTGTTTTCGAAGCTGCGCTTAACTGGGCTGAAGTTGAGTGTCAACGGCAAGATTTACCTGTTAGCATAGAAAATAAACGCAAGGTCCTAGGGAAAGCTCTCTACCTGATTCGCATCCCTACCATGGCACTTGATGACTTTGCAAATGGTGCCGCTCAGTCCGGGGTGCTGACTCTCAATGAAACCAATGATATCTTCCTTTGGTATACAGCTGCCAAAAAGCCAGAATTAGAGTTCGTGAGCAATGCCAGAAAAGGCCTTGTCCCCCAGCGTTGCCACCGCTTCCAGTCTTGCGCCTACCGCAGCAACCAGTGGCGTTACAGGGGTAGGTGTGACAGCATCCAGTTTGCTGTTGATAAGAGAGTTTTCATTGCTGGCTTTGGGCTATATGGTTCTAGCTGCGGATCGGCAGAATATAGCGCAAAGATCGAACTTAAACGCCAAGGTGTTATCCTAGGCCAGAACTTGAGCAAGTATTTCTCAGATGGATCTAGCAACACTTTCCCAGTGTGGTTTGAGTACCCAGTGCAGATTGAGCCCGATACCTTTTATACAGCTAGTGTGATACTGGATGGCAATGAACTAAGCTATTTTGGACAAGAAGGAATGACTGAAGTTCAGTGTGGGAAGGTAACTGTTCAATTCCAGTGCTCTTCAGACAGTACTAATGGCACTGGAGTGCAGGGAGGGCAGATTCCAGAACTCATATTCTATGCCTGAGCAAAAATGTTTCCAGAGGAAGAGTTTGACCTGAAGTACACATCTGGTTCAGACCTACTGATGCTTAGCTTATCTGCAGCTGTGATCAGTACAGAGAATATGTAAGTAAAAGCTGTGGATAGTTACTGCTTGCTGGACTTGTAGCCTCTTTGGTGATGAAATTTAAATGTAACATTCAATTTTAACTGGAAGCTCTTAAGAGCAAGGAAGTTTCTAAAGCTTTGTCTGAGTCAGATATACCTACGCCCATGATTCCCAGCCTGTCTTGTTGGCGTGCCCCTACTCGCAATGGATCAGCAGATGGACGCCCTCTTTCATATCTCCAATGGATTGTGCCCCCCAATACACTGGATGCTGCCTCTTTTGGTCCATTTTCTCTTTCTGTCTCAGTTCTTTTTTCCTTCTTGTCTTTTTCTCTCTGCTTCTCATTATTTTTTGCTCTTGTTTTTTGCTCCCCAACTCTCCAGAGGGCTACATGCTGCTCAGAGTCAGGGAAGGGGCTCCACAAGGCTGGGCCCCTTTAGTTCTTACAGCTGAGCCAAGTGATGGGGCAGATAACAGAAGCTTGTGTGTGAACGCGCAGCCCCATAGAGGCAAGCCAGTCCCGTATGTGGCCCGCTGTATTGGGGGTGGCTGCAAGAGAAGAGAGGGAGGTTGGCAGGCAACATTCAAGGAGCCGCACACTGCTTTATACACAGATGCAGGATCATACTTGCAGCCAGGGTGAGCTGGGCTCATACAGCTTTTCCCACCAGCACCCTCTTGAGCTCCTCTGACTCATTCCCTTCAGACTGGGAAATACTTGTGTACACACAAACTGTGTAGGTGGCTTCGAAGCATTTGCCCATTTAACCAAATGTTGCAATAGTTATACGGAGATGCTTTTAAAATTGCTCTCATTTGGCCCACTACTAAATAGCTGGGTGATGATATCTAGCATGAGACAAAGGATAGGTTAATTTCTTTTTCCAAAATAGTCCTAGAACATTTGGAGGGGGATTTTTTCCCCCCTGTAAAAATGAAAATAAACATCACTGCACGGTAACGTGTACTAATCCTGAGTTACACATTCCTTCTCTGTAATGTGAGCTTTATTATATTATTGCCACACACTCTGACTCAGCAGATAATTAAATAGATGATCGCAAGAAAATTCCCAAGAGTGGACTATGTCTGGCAGTGAGCACCAAGTGTAATACAGTGAGGGGAAACTTATGTCTGAGCTCTTGCAATTAGTTTTAATTTAAATGTGAAATGGAGGATTGTGTGGTCCAAAAACTTTTTTTTTTCCCCTGAATTACTTTTCAAGCTTTCTGTAGTCCTGTCTGTATTTTTGGCAGGAACGGACTACAAACTCATTGCTGTTTAAGAGGGAAGGAAATCAGTATAACTAAAAGATCCAAGTACCATTTAAACTTAATAAAATAAAGTCCACACTTTGGAAAAGAAACTCCTTAATCACTAGATTGTGAAACTTACTTACAAAGAGGACACTACCGAGGTAATTTGTCTCACCTTTATAATATCTCTGAAGTGGTTATGTTTGCTTTCCATATTATAAGCTAAAATAGAGGACCAAATGATTCTTTGGCCAGGCTAAAGACTAATGTGTGTGCTACACTAAATATAATCATCAGTTTTACAATGGAACCGCTTTTCCCGTATGGTTACTTATCAGTTAATATTTATTACTCCACCTACTCCTTGACTGCTGGAATCTTGGCCTCTGGCCATCTCAAAGTGCCGGTATGTTTCTGCAGTGTCCAAAACATGTTCTGGAGTAATGACAAGTGGATTGGAGTAGGCATCAAAAACTCAAAGGCCAAAGCCAGTCTCTTCCCTGTCCTGTGGATGGTGAAAAGAAGAGCGAGGGGAAGACTGTTCTGCAAGTACCATGTTCTTTATTCACTGTAATGGTTACAATTTTACATATGTGAGCAAATACATTCTTTCTGAAGTATAAAATACCCTCGGAATATATAGAAAATGCTTTTTATAACAGATGTACCTAAACTAGACTGTTAGTGAGATCTGGACAGAATGTTCCCTTGAAAACTGACGATACTTTTTTTTTTTAAAGCTCCAGTTAATTATATTTAGATCTCTCAGCAACCAAAAATATACACGCAGTATAATTTTATGGATTGGGGAAATATTTATTGAAGAGACAACGAAGGAATGTAAGATTGTCATGGGATAATAGTCAACTACTTGTAGACATTATCTGAGCAGTAGTGAATTTATTTAAAATAAACGTTAAAGCAAAGACTGGCCAAGTTACTGTATATGAAATGGTTGACATAGATATAATGGCTCTGTCTGAATGATGCTTTTATGGGGTAGAGTGTCAGAATGCAGCTATTTAACAATGTTACAGCAAGTAACTGATTCGTTTAGAACAGACTTATGTGCCTCACAGTGGGACAAAAAGTGTACTCTACTAGTATGGATAAGCCAGTCTCTGACTGGCTCTAGTGTTTTTGGTGTTTTTCTTTTTAATTTATCTACAAATAAAGGCTTAGCATCTATTAAACTGACTGGCTGGAACAGATAGTTATGGGATCAAATTAATGTATAGCTGTGATATGTAGAAAATCAGTCTTTTTTTTTTTACTTGTTATCCCTTGAATATTTTTGACAAAGTAGAATGAAAGCTCTGCTTCTTGCTTAATTCCTCTGAAACTGTTCCAGGTATAAATTAGACTTGTTGCTTATGGTCAAAATATTTAAGCTTGGATCAATACACTTAGACACCTAAATAAGTGGCTTGATTTTGAGAGGGGCTCGACACCAGCAAGCCCATTGCAGTAAATAGAATCTGCTGTTGCCAAATACTTTTGAACATCAGGCCACTTAATTAGGTGCCTAAATATGGATCTAGATCTGGTCAACTAACTTTAGGCATCCAAGTTTGAAAATGTTAATCTATATTTTGAAAGCATCCGATGTATCATGCTGGAACGTAAACACAACTTCAGCAAAAAGAACATTATGTAGATGGTATTTTATGGCGGTCTTTACTACTTGTATATTGATTTTGCTGGTAGGGGGAACTAAGACAGGGCATTGTAATGTAATATGCTTTAAGCATATCTGAAATAGGATTTAAATGTTCTAATTTCTACATACTTATTGCACTGAACTGTTTTTTAAATTGTTGTGATAAAGTCTGCTAATTTCAGGTCACAGCACCCAGTTATGCTTGACCTTAAGCTTACAGCATTATTTATGAAGGACAGATATATAAATATGAAGTACCTCATGTTGAATGTTATTGTACTGTATCTTTAATGTAACAGTGCAGATCTTGTTAGACACATGAATGTGTATAATCACATTAAACATATGAATAAAACTGGTTCTTATACAGTTGTTTCCTGTGGTACTTTTGAAGCATCCGTGGAATAAATAGTGAAATCCTTATTTTGGCTATTATTTTTAGTGTTTTCCATTGTTCTAGATAATTGTGCGGGAGTATTTGTTAGGCTTGGGTATTCTGGGATCTTTTGAACCCAAAAGAAGTAAAAGTCTGAGGCAAAACCAAGGAAGAACAATGAATATGTTAATCAGTTCCATTGTTAAGACTGACGATTAAGCTAATGAGATGGAGTGAATGAATTCATGTATATGCTTTATGAAATTTTTGTATACTAGAATTAATATTTTCTATTAATATTACCAAGCTGGGGGGAGGGTGGTGTGTCATTCTGTTTATTCTGAAAGACAGCGGGTACTGAAAGCGACCAGAGCTGTCAGTCCTTAAGATTCTGGAACAGGGTACACTGATAGAATTCAGAAAGATTTATGGTGCAGGCTTAGTGGAAAGAGGTTGTTCCCTGTTGGAAATTTGAGTCTTCTCATTCAACCATTTCTTTCCCAACAGAGTTGAATATCAGTTCATCATATTTCTTCACAGAAAATCATCAAAGAAGATGAATTTACCCTTCCTTGATCCATTCTGAGGATTTTGGATCCAATAACAAACCAGCTAAAGAGAGGGTTAGGAAAGGGACATTCAAAGAGAACTGGAGAAGTCCACCCTCATGGAAAAGAGAGAATTCTTAACTTGATCCTAAAATACATTCTGAACATTCCAAGTAGTGTCACTTGTGATGGGTTTTCTAAAATCGTTTACTACTGTTAATCCACGCACAATGAGATGCAAAACCATAAAAAACTTTCTGTCTATGCCTTGTTCTATGCTAACTGCATCAGTACTTAACACAGATACCTTATGATATGTGTCTCTATCAACTACAAAAAGTATAAATTAGTGTCAGTCCAGTTTTAACTGGACAAACTGACTGCATCAGAAAACCAGCACCTTCAGCCTCTCTATTGAGACTCGGCATTGAATGAGTGTGGAGAATAAGCTATCCTCTCGCACAGAGAAGTGTTCACTCCTTGCATTGTTTCTGCCTAAGATGGACCTGCTTTTTCCAAGACTCCCACCTATAAATACATAATGTGAAATCCCAATCAGTGGAAGTTTTGCCTCTTCTTCAATGAGGTCAGGATTTCACCCACAGGGTTCAGTTAACATCAATACTCCCAGAACACACTATTGCTGAGGGAATAGAAAATTTTAAAATTCACACTGTACACTGATTATCTAGAAGTCCATCAAAATATCATAGATTCTAAGGCCAAAAGGGACCACTGTGATCATCTAGTCTGACTCCCGGTATAACGCAGGACATAGGATGAAACCCCATAATAAATCTTAAAATAACCCTCATGGGCATATGGCAAACAATTCAAACATTAACATGAAATAATTTATTCTAAACCACAGTGATATTTGCATATGTCTTTATGTACATTTTTACAAGCATACTTCAAATTCATAGCACACAAGGTATAGCAGGGGTATAGTAATTTTCACATTAGAAGATGTTTGAATTGCAAAGGTTCATATGCTCAAAAGAGCTGTTCAACGTGAAGGAAAAACATAGAAAGGCTTTAGCTACTTTGGTCCAAGGTTCAGTCCTTTTAAAAGAATCTCTTAAAATCTGTTTAATTTGTCAACAGTGTCAGGAATGCATTTATATTAATCCTTTAACAACAATATTTTAACATTCACTTATTTTATTGTTTGCTAGAGACAACAATAGTGTAGTTGGCTGTCGGGAGATCCTATGTTTTGCTAGATCTAACTTTAAAACTTCATAGCTGCTTCAGCTACCACTCTGGGAGAGTCAGCAGTTCAAGAATAGCATGGGCTGGCTTTTAGACTAAACAAGCTAGAACTTGGAAGAGGGGGATGAGGTCAGCAGCAATGCCACAGGGAATTGCTGTGGACAAGGTATTTTGTCCCCTTAGTGGGTGGACACACCTTATTCTGTTGTCTTATCCACCATCTGCTGGGGGGAGGCAGGGGCTTCCTGGATCCTCCTCCACCGCCCCGGGTCCCATTGTCTACCCTCTGCCCCCTCCCCCAGTTGGCAGCACTTGGGGAACTCTGAGGCAAACACAGAGCAAAGGATTAGCTTCTCCTCCCCGCCAAGAGAGGAGAATCTGGAAAGATGGCCAGTCTCTCAGGCAGTCCCTGGGGATTTAGCCCTATGGGCTTAGTCTGTCAGAGTCTCTGGCCCTTTGTGGGGTTTGCCTTCTGTCCCTCCTCCTGGGGCATACTATTTTGCCACCAGTCAGGGCAGTTTTGGGAGCCTGTGGCTGTCTCCTCCTTGGCTGGACTGCTTCCTTTACAAGCAGTTTCTGAGTGGGGCAGCCTTCTTCCTGTTCCCTGCCCCTTTCGGTGGTAAGTTTCTTCTTTTAAGCTCCTCCTGCTCCAGGCTGAACAAGCCTTGCAGGTGCACCTCTTTAGGGCTGAACAGGCCAGAAAAGCTCCTTAGTCTCCTCCATACCAGCGTGAGGGCGTGTCCCTTCACACCATGCCACGGTTAATTTCAGCAGCAGGCTGAAAGTCACATATATGGTACAGCAGCAGTACGGGGGAGTGTAAAGAGACTTGAGCAGCAGAAAGAGAAGTTCTAAATGAAGGTAGGGGTGAAACCCGTGAGATAGATCGTTCCCAGATCATCCCCTCAGGCAGAGAAGACTGGCATGGCAGATTCCCCTGAATAGTCCAGTGGTAGAGAAAGGACCCTTACAGCTCTGTTAACGTATCACTACTGTAAAAACAAAGAAAATAAGCTTTGCATCAGTAAATGTCTTTTCTGGAGCTTCCGTCGGGATTTTTTTTTTGGCTAGAGTGCTTATCTCCTACAGAGCTCTTTCGCATTTATTTTACTATGCAAATGAGACTAATTTCCTCAGGCTCCAGCCAACCACGTGAGATGTCTGCTATCGAAGTGAATTTTATGGGATTACTCATCACCTCACTTCCACAGAGCCAGGCCTGTACTTGGATGCAGAGTTCTTGCCGTTTGTTTGAAAGATGCAACAGTCCTCAAAATAATTTAGCTTTGTACACTTAGGCACAAGGCCAAATCCTCAGCTGGTGTAAAAAAAAGAAAAAAATCAGCGTAGCGCCCTTAGAACCAGTTTCCATCAGCTGAGGAACTGATCCACAATTGATCCTCTCTTACAATACCGTCCATGACAAAACATTTATAGAGCGTAAGGGCCCTGATCCTATAAAGACTTTCTTATGCTTTACCATTAAGCCCATGAATAAACGTAATGGGTTCAACAGGGTGACACGTGTTTAAAGTTGCGTCTTTTCAGGATCAGGGCCTTCCTTTCTAGCACCTTGATTTTAGGACTTTACAATGCAGTAAACTAAATTCCTGCTGGGATGACATTTGGCTTTAGGCTGGGAGTGGATATTTTCCCCCAAGTTTGAAAAAACCTTGTAAATTCAAACTCTAGTAAATTAAAAGAATGTGGTTTTTTTGTTTTTTGATTTTTTTCCCCCCAAAAAAGGGAATTACAGTTAAGCGGTTCAAATTAGTTTGTGTTCATCTGGCTGTTGAACGATATTCTTCAGGGGTTCAATTCTCACATTGCAAAGGTACAAGGTTGCAGGATGGGGATCCTTGGCATGCAAGGTTGAGCCAATGTGTGCTTTATTTATTTATTTATTTTTCCTCCTCCCCTCTTCCTGAAACAACTTGGTGCACTCTCTGACCAGGGGATATAGTGCCAGCAGTACTGCTTGTGTCCGACGACATTAGTGCGTAGGATATAGTGCTGGAGAGAAAGGAAGGTCAGAGAGCTGGAAGGAGGAGGAAACTAAGAAATAAGAAAAAATGTATCCTACCAGTAAGGGCAGCACTTGTCAGTTACAGACAATAAACAAAACACTGGCTTCAGAGGAGCCGTTCAGGCGTTTCAGGAGCCAATCACCTGACGTAAGGTAAGACTACAAAGGCATGACCATTATTTGAATATTTTTGTCCCTGTTTCTCATGCTTGATGGGACACAGAGACCTTCCTGGACTCTGTAGTTGTGGAGATTATTTTGAGAGGCAAAACCAAACAGCATATTCTCTCTCTCTCCTAGGTGCTCCTTCCCAAAATGTGTCAAATGAGCTCTTGGAAATCATGTGGGGTGGATTTACTGAGCAGGTCTTTTTGCCAGGATTGTTGCCCGGTAGACTCAGCCTACTGGGAAATAATTTTAAAGATGTTGTAGCCTGAATTTGCCAGGCTGCTGCTGGTGGAACAACTGCAACTCCAAGCACCCACCCTCCCTGTCCAGAAACAACCACTGTGGCCCTCAGTGAACAAGGTCCCCTGAAGATGATGGCAGAGAGGGGTCATGTAGTAGCAGTTGAGGAGGAACCATTCCGTTCCTCCCTCTGACGTTCAATGGTAGGACACCACCTTCCTTTCACCCAGTTCAAAGGGATGGATTTTGTTTTAATGTAAAAAGAAACCCCCCTGCAGAGCCAAGTGCAACATGGCCACCCCATAGGATGGTACTCAGTCTCTGAGTATCTCTCCTGGAGAGTAGTATCTGATGAGGACACTGAGAAGGCCCAAGAATTGCAAGGGAAATAACAATCCTTCCCCCACCTGGGAGGGCACTACACCTCGCTCTTCAGGAACAGCTTTGGGTCCCTCTTTTGAGGGTGCTGGGTGGCTGGTTTGTTGTCTTCCACGCCAGGCCAGTCTTTCCTCTCCTAGTCAATAGGAACAGCGTCCTGGCCTTGAAGGCCTCAGTGACATGACGCAGCACAAACTTTGAGTAGGCAATTTCAGCAGCCACAGTCTCATGCACTCTGCTGGCTCCTGTTTTCCTTCTCTGTCAGCCAAGAAATAATACAATTCGCTCTTCCTGGCACAGATGTTAAATTAACACAAATGGCATCTGCATTTCTCAGCCTGGCCTAGCAGTGGGCATCAGAGTCCAATATCTAGGGAGATCCTGGCCATTGCATTTGCTCTGTGGTCACGCTAAGC